CAAGTGCTTGGAAATTGTTATGAGAGTACCGAGCAGTAGACGGCTGAGTTGTGTATTTACATTTTATCAGCTGACGGTTGAGGGTTGTCTGACATTTATAGGGCCACAACAGGAAACACCACGTTATTCCAGAGTCAGTAGTCAGTAGTCAAATTTCCCCAAGCCACAGAAATCTCTAAACAAATTTTACAGCACATATACTGTCAAACCTACATAAAAATATTTACTGAAAAGAAATGTGAATAGAATTCTATTAAAATGTTTTATCAAGGAAGTTAAAGGTAGTAGGTTGGTAGACAGCAACTGCCCAGGGAGGTACTACCGTCCTGCCAAGTGAGTGTAAAATGAAAGCCTGTAATTGTTTTACATGATGGTAGGATTGCTGGTGTCTTTTGTCTGTCTCATAAATATGCAAGATTACAGGCACGTCTTGCTACTTCTACTTACACTTAGGTCATACTACACATACGTGTACAAGCATATATATACACAGGCCTCTGGGTTTTCTGCTATTTTCTTTCTAGTTCTTGTTATTGTTTATTTCCTCTTATCTCCATGGGGAAGTGGAACAAAATTCTTGCTCCGTAAGCCATGCGTGTTGTAAGAGGCGGCTAAAATGCCAGGAGCAAGGGACTAGTAACCCCTTCTCCTGCATATATTACTAAATGCAAAAGGAGAAACTTTCGTTTCTCCTTTTGGGCCACCCTGCCTCGGTGGGATACAGCCGGTGTGTTGAAAGAAGAGAAGATCAAGGAGGTTTTGTGGGTGAGGGGCTTGCACTTCCAGCAAGCGTGCGTGAGCATGTTAGATAGGAGTGAATGGAGACAAATGGTATTTGGGACCTGACGAGCTGTTGGCGTATGGGTGTTTGTGGGAAAACATCAGGCTGCAGTATTAGGGTTGAAAACAGCAGATATTACCAGGATACCCCAGGGATATGTTTAGAAGACAAGATTCATAATCAAGTTGCTAGTAAAGGCAAATCAATTGATCAACAGAGAGATAGTAGAGGACAACGAGTGACTAGCTCCCTTAAGGTTTAATATACAAATAGTAGGAGTCAAAGAAATAAGATAGATGAGCTAAGATTACTTGCAAGTGGCAGGTAATACAGATATTACTGGTATAACAGAGACCTGGTTCAATCTGGAAGATAGAGAAATGCCTTCTGAATGCAACATACAGGGTTATAAACTATTCCACACTGATAGGGTCAACAGGAAGGGTGGTGGAGTGGTGATGTATGTCAGAGTTAATTTAAATTGTTGTCTTAGACATGATATAAAATTATAAAAATCAGACACAGAATCTGTTTGGCTACAGTTTCTCAAGAGTCATGACAAATTAATTTTGGGTGTGATTTATAGGCCCCCCAAACTTTAATAGGGAGTGCAATAAGCTATAATGGGACAAAATTCATAAGACATCTAGATATGAAAATGTTGTGTCAATGGGAGATTTTAACTTTAGACAAATTGATTGGAACAATACGACAGGAAATCTTGAGTCTAGTGACTTTCTTGATATGGTTCAGGATTGGTTTTTAGAACAGGTTGTGACAGAATCAACTAGAGGAAACAATCTGCTTGACTTGGTTCTTGCCAACAAAGAATCACTAATTAATTATCTTGAGGTTAATGATTAGCTTAGGGAAAGTGATCACAAATCACTTAGTTTCAATATATCATGGAATTACCCAGATAACTGCAATCAAATCTCTGTCCCAGACTTTCGCTTGGCCGATTTCATGGGACTGAGAAATTACCTGGGTGGGCTAAATTGGGATTACCCGACTATGGGTCAGGGAGGTGATCTTGGTTGCCAATATAACATTTTTCAAAGCATAGCTCTAGCTGTCCAGACAGCTTTTGTTCTGAGAAGGGAAATTAGATCTAACAAAAATGAACCCAAATGGATGAACAATAGATTAAAACATCTCACTGGTCAAAAGAGAGGCATATATAGGTGTATCAAAAAAGGGGATGGGCAGTTAAGGTATCAATATATTCAATTAGAGAGAGAAATAAAAAAAAGGAATAAGAAAAGCAAAAAGGGATTATGAGGCTAAGGTCACAAGGGATTTGAGGGCTAACCCAAAAGGGTTCTTTCAGGTATACAGAAGTAAGATTAGGGACAAGATAGGCCCACTTAAGAGTAACTCACACATATCCTTATCACTGACAGTGATAAGGATATGTGTGAAATTTTCAATACTTACTTCCTCTCAGTTTTTAAACAGGAAAATACTAGCAAAATTCCTGAAATAATAGATTATGTAGAACAGGATGATGATAAACTATGCACGATTGCAGTAACTAGTGACATGGTCCTCAGACAGAGAAATTAAAACCTAACAAATCCCCAGGCCCTGATGAACTGTTTGCAAGGGTGTTAAAAGGAATGTAAAGAGGAACTTAGCATACCTTTGGCTAATCTTTTCAACATATCACTACAAACTGGCATAGTGCCTGATAAGTGGATAATGGCAAATGTAGTACCTGTTTACAAGGCAGGTGACAGGTCCTTAGCTTCGAACTATAGACCAATAAGCCTTACTTCCATAGTGTGAAAATTTATGGAATCAATAATTGCCGAAGCAATTCGTAGCCATCTTGATAGGCATAAATTATTTAATGAATCTCAACACGGTTTTACACAGGGGTGTTAATGTCTTACGAATTTACTAATTTTTTTCATTAAGGTGTTTGAGGAGATAGATCATGGTAATGAATATGAAGTACAGTCCCTGCATTCTGAAGGAGGGGTGTTAATGTTGCAGTTTAAAAACTGTAGTGTAAAGCACCCTTCTGGCAAGACAGTGATGGAGTAAATGATGGTGAAAGTTTTTCTTTTTCGGGCCACCCTGCCTTGGTGGGAATCGGCCAGTGTGATGATAATAATAATAATAATAATAATAATAATAACAGAATATGATATTGTGTATATGGACTTCAGTAAGGCTTTCAATAGAGTTCCACATCAGAGGCTATTGAGGAAACTTAAAGCACACAGAATAGGAGAAATTTTTTTCTGAGTAGAGGCATGGCTGACAAATAGACAACAGAAAGTTTGCATAAATGGGGAGAAATCAGAATGAGGGCACATCACAAGCAGTGTTCCGCAGGGGTCAGTGTTGGGCCCGTTGTTGTTCACAATTTACATAAACAACATAGATGAGGGAATAAATAGCGACAGAAGCAAATTTGCTAATGACACCAAAATAGGCCAGCCAATTCATTCTAATGAGGATACTAGAGCACTCCAGGATGATTTGAATAGACTGATGCAATGGTCGGAGAAGTGGAAGATGCAGTTTAATATAGACAAATGCAAAGTTCTAAATGTCGGGCAGGAAAATAACCATGCCACATATTAACTAAATAATGTAGATCTTAATATTACTGATTGCAAAAAGGATTTAGGGGTTCTGGTTAGCAGTAATCTAAAACCAAGACAACAGTGCATTAGTGTTTGCAATAAAGCTGACAAAATCCTTAGCTCCATATCTAGAAGTATAAATAATAGAAGTCCTCAAGTTGTTCAACTCTATATATCCTTGGTTAGGCCTCATTTAGATTATGCTGCACAGTTCTGGTCACCGTATTACAGAATGGATATAAATGCACTGGACAACGTACAGAAGAGGATGACGAAGTTGATCCCATGTATCAGAAATCTTCCCTATGAGGATAGACTGAGGGCCCTGAATCTGCACTCTCTCGAAAGGCGTAGAATTAGGGGGGATATGATTGAGGTGTATAAATGGAAAACAGAAATAAATAAAGGGGATGTAAATAGTGTTCTGAAAATTTCCAGCCATGGCAAGACTTGCAACAATGGTTTCAAGTTGGAAAAATTCAGATTCAGAAAGGATATAGGAAAGCACTGGTTTGGTAATAGAGTTGTGGATGAGTGGAACAAACTCCTGAGTACAGTTATAGAGGCTAAAACATTGTGTAGTTTTAAAAATAGGTTAGATAAATACATGAATGGGTGTGGGTGGGTGTGAGTTGGACCTGACTAGCTTGTGCTACTAGGTCTGGTGCCATGCTCCTACCTTAAGTGGAAGTGACCTGACTAGGTAGGTCACTGGGCTAATCTGGGGATGGGGGGGGACATAGACCCACTTTGTTTGGGTCAGTAGGCCTGCTACAGTGTTCCTTCTTTCTTATGTTCTTATTGCATATATGGAACAACAGGTAGAAAGAGAACATGGCATAAAGCAAACCCATTACAACTGTATAAGGCTACCTGCAACTGACTAGTATACTACTCATTTTTGTTTATATAAGAAACTGGCATTAGCATGCCCCTTAACAACTACCAGACAAGAACAGCTATGGGGATGCAGTAATATTTGCAAAATGACATGTACAGAAACAAGACAAAGTTTCTTCCGAGTCCATTAGTATTGAATGTTAGAAGGCAATCAGAGGAAGCATTCACAGGTTATTACACGAAAACCATTAGGGTATCCTAATGTCTTCAATCAAATTGGTCCTTACACAGTCCAAAATCAATCCAAAAAATTTCTCCAAGGCACACAGCATCATCCTCTCCATTCAGATGAAGTAAACTAAATCACTTTCGGAAAAATATCATACAATTTTAAAAATAAAATTGGCTAATTAGCACCTATACACTCCAATAACAATTAACTTTTTTTCTAAGATTGATACACCAGTGCTGAAAGCCTATCAGAAGAGACCTTCTTAAGTTATTGGATGAAAGGAAAATTAAGAATGGCACCCTTAAATTAACGAAGGGTGCCTGCCCTTCCCAGTAGCTGCTTGACCACTCCCCTAGTTATAATTAACCAGCTTGAAAATTTTATGCATACCAGACCAGGTATTCTGAAGTTATAAACAGAAACTCTGGGAATAAGCAAAAAAAAAAAAAAGCAACCACTATAAATTTTTCCTGTATGATATTACGTACCTATTATTTTTCTCTCTCTCCTATAAATGGCTATTGAAATTAAAAACAAATAATTTACATACCAATTTAATGATCTTAATAAGCATCCAGTTGTTTGTAGATGATGTCATCAACTTAAAAAATACAGGCGCAAGACTGAGATAGTTCTTAGGATTCTTACGAGCCAGTTCACAGATTACATTTACGGCTGCTGACTGAACACCAGGATCAGGATCTTCAAGCTTTTCTTTCAGTCTTGGAAAAGCTGGTCTTAGCGCCTCAGGAAATTTAAGGAACACCTTGTAGAGAAGCAGAACTGCCTTTTTCCTTAAGTAGGGCTTTGTTGACGTAAGCTGTAGGGTATAAAAACGAAAAATATGAAACATTTCTATAATAAAATTATAACATTATAAGATTTTTAATAAACTTCATGCAAATAAAAATATAAAAAATATAAAAAATTAAAGTAAATAAATTAGTAAATACAGTGGACTCCCGAGTTTCGTGATTAATCCATTCCCGAGAGTCTGCCAAAATTCGGAATTCACAAATGTCAAAACCATTTTCCCCATAAGAAACTATGTAAATCCAATTAATCCATTCCAGACACCCAAAACTATTAACAAAAATTATTTTTCTATGGATTAAATATAGATTTACATACAGAAAAGAATGAGAAATCAAGTATAAAACAATAGTATCACACTTACCTTTATTGAAGACTCGAGTGAATATCAAAATGGTATACAATACCGACAGGATGGTAGTTAAGACACATAGGCAACATTTAAGCAACTTTATTCCGAAACGTTTCGCCTACACAGTAGGCTTCTTCAGTCGAGTACAGAAAGTAGGCAGGAGCAGTAGAGATGTGAAGACGATGTAATCAGTCCATCACCCTTAAAGTCGTTGATTTGAGGTTGTCAGTCCCTCAGCCTGGAGAAGTTCTATTCCAAAGTCTGGAACTAACTGAAGATCAAGCGACAGTGTTGAGACTTAAATACTAAGTCTCAACACTGTCGCTTGATCTTCAGTTAGTTCCAGACTTTGGAACAGAACTTCTCCAGGCTGAGGGACTGACAACCTCAAATCTATGACTTTAAGGGTGATGGACTGATTACATCGTCTTCACATCTCTACTGCTCCTGCCTACTTTCTGTACTTGACTGAAGAAGCCTACTGTGTAGGCGAAACGTTTCGGAATAAAGTTGCTTAAATGTTGCCTGTGTCTTAACTACCATCCTGTCGGTATTGTATACCAGCTCTACCCTCTACCACAATCACTACCACCCTCTACCACCATCACAACCACTACCACCCTCTACCACCATCACAACCACCCTCTACCATTACAACAACTACCACCCTCTACCACCATCACAACTGCAACCACCCACTACCACCATCACAACTGCTACCATCCTCTACCACCATCACAATCACTACTACCTTCTACCACCATCACAATCACTACCACCCTCTACCACCATCACAACCACTACCACCCTCTACCACCATCACTACCACCCATTACCACCATCACTACCATCCTCTACCACCATCACAACCACCTTCTAGCACCATCACAACCACTACCACCATCACTACCACCTTCAACCACCACAACCACCATCACTACCACCATCACTACCACCACCACTTTCTTATTTTTCTACAAACTTTTTTCTTTAAATCTATTGCGTTTCTTGCCTTCTTTACCAAAGGGCTGGCACTAGAAGCTTTCTTTGGGCTCATATTGGCTTATTTAGCAATTTCAAGCACAAAAAACAATGGATTATTACGAAATGTATCTTATAAACACGTAGGGTGATGGTCACTCGCCCAGAAACGATGCCACACTGACTCTCTGAATGGTGGTGTGTGCGAGCCTTTGTGTACACCTGGCCACTGGGAGGCCACTCAGACGAACTGTGAGGCAAATCACAAAACGCGAGGCTATATTATCACAAAAAAAGTTGCCAAAAGTCAAAATTCACAAAGCGCGAGCCTCACGAAATTGTGACTCATCTAAGTCTTTAACTTCCAATTGTGGTGCCTTGTCGGTGTGTGCCATCTCTGGAACATCCTGTCTCTGTCCACCTTGTCAATTCCTCTCAGTATTTTAGGTATTTTTTTTTTATTTTTATTAACACATCGGCCATTTCCCACCAAGGTAGGGTGGCTCGAGAAAGAAAAACTTTTACCATCATTCACTCCATCACTGCCTTGCCAGAGATGCACTTACACTACAATTGTAAAACTGCAACATTAACACCCCTCCTTCAGAGTGTATTTCATATATCATATCCCCCCCCCCTATCTCGTCTGTCCTCCAGTGTCATCAGGTTGATTTTGCTTAACCTCTCCTTGTAGGACATACCCCTTACCTCTGGGACTAGTTTTGTTGCAAACCTTTGCACTTTCTCTAATTTCTTGACATGCCTGACCAGGTATGGGTTCCATACTGGTGCTGCATACTCCAATATGGGCCTGACATACACAGTGTACAGTCTTGAGTGATTCCTTACTCAAGTGTTGAAATGCTATTCTTAGGTTTGCCAAGTGCCCATATGCTGCAGCAGTTATTTAGTTGATGAGCCCCTCAGGAGATGCGCTCGGTATTATACTTACCCCAAGATCCTTTTCCTTCAGTGACATTTGCAGTCTCTGGCCTCCTAGCCTGTACTCTGTCTATGATCTTTGACCTTCCTCAATCTTCATGACTTTGCATTTGGTGGGATTAAACTCCAGGAGCCAGTTACTCCTGAAGCAAGTGTTTTTGTGTGCACGTGCGTGTGCGTATGTGTACATGCACACACACACACACACACACACACACACACACACACACACACACACACACACACACACACACACACACACACACACACACACACACACACACTCCCTCCCCTATTTGTGGTTGCAGGGATCAAGTTATACCTCCTGGCAATGTTCCCCCTCTCGTATATATATACTATTGGCCTTGTCCCTTCATGCTTCCATGTTACTCATTAATGGTCCAAGTAGGCCCTAAACATCCTAAGTTTTATTCTCCTAAGTCCAGGCTATTTGTTTATTGTTCCAGTCATGGTATTGTGTCTTTTTATTCATAATGTTTACATTGTTTATTTTGGACTATTTGCAAATGGAATGTTTTTAATGTTGCGTAAAATTAGCCATCACATCATCACATACACTTTATTGGGCAGGTCTAGTACAGGCAAGCCCTGCTTATACAGATTAGGTTCTGGGCTACCACTGTGGAGCACAAATTGCTGTAAAGTGAATCAGCATTTTTTTTTTACTTTCAAATTTATATAAAAGCCTGATAACATGTTTACACTTTCATATTATATAGCTAGGCCTAAAAATAAATACACAGTACACACATTATTTACCTTAACCCTTTCAGGGTTTCAGCCGTACTAGTACAGCTTACGCACCAGGGTTTTTGACGTACAAGTACACTTAAATTCTAGCGCCCTCAAATCTAGTGAGAGAAACCTGGTAGGCCTACATATGAAAGAGTGGGTCTATGTGGTCAGTGTGCGCAGTATAGAAAAAATCCTGCAGCACACAGTGCGTAATGAGAAAAAAAAAACTTTGACCGTGTTTTTGGATTAAAACACTGACTTTTCACTGCATTTTCGTATGGTATTTATGGTTGTATTCTAGTTTTCCTGGTCTCATTTTATAGAATGGAAGACATATTACAGAAATTGAGATGATTTTGACTGGTTTTACAATGAAAAGTGCCTTGAAATTGAGCTCAAAGTAGCAGAAATGTTCGATTTTTACCAAAGTTCAAAAGTAAACAAACCATGCCAAGCGTCCAATACACGTCAACTGGCGAGTCTAATATTCTTTCACAAGTGCGATGATATTATTTATACCATTTCTACACTAATGCAGTAGTCTGCATAACAGTAAATCTTCTATTTTTTGTAAGAATAAAAATTCAAAGTGGAAAGCCAAAGAAATATAGGAGGGGCCTGGGGATGTGACTAACAAACAGAGAACTTGTTATTTTAGTGCCAGGAATGTCTTTCTTGCTTATTCTGGACCCTATTCGGAAAGTGGCATCTTTTGAAGTTTGTGTGAAATTGACAAAATTGCTAAATTCTGACCACTTTATTGGATAGTTGAAATCAGCAAATGAGTGGTTTCTTGTACTCATTCGATAGAAAAAATGGAGTTCTAGCGGAATAGTTATGATTTTTGTCAACTAGTACACTAGAATTGGCCGAAAATAGGGCTCAAAGTGGGCAAAATCGCCGATGCATAAACATCGTCAAGACCGCTACCTTCGTGAGAGCATAATTTCGTAAGTTTTCCATCAAATTTCGTACTTTTGGTGTCATTATGATCGGGAAAAGATTCTCTATCTTTTCATAAGAAAAAAAATTTTTTTTTTTTTTAACCCTTTCAGGGTCCAAGGCCCAAATCTGGAGTCACGCACCAGTGTCCAAGAATTTTCAAAAAAAAAAAATTGTTATTTTTTCTTATGAAATCGTAGAGAATCTTTTTGTGAAGGTAATAAAACAAATAGTACGAAATTTGGTGGAAAATTGACGAAATTATGCTCTCGCGAATTTTGATGTGTCAGCGATATTTACGAATCGGCGATTTTGCCGACTTTCACTCCCATTTTAGGCCAATTACATTATTCCAATCAACCAAATTCTTAGCTATTTCACTAGTATTACCTCTATTCTATCGATTGAGCACAAGAAATCGCCAAGTCAACTGTTTCAACTACAAAATAAAGTGATCAGAAATTGTTAATTTGGCCAATTTAACACAAAGTTCAAAATATTCCAATTTCAAAATAGGCTCCAGAATAAACAATGTAGGTATTCCTGGAACTAAACTAACATTTCCTCTGTTCATTAGTTACCTTTTGAGGCTTTACAAATAAATTCCATTTTGATTTTTTATTCACATAATGAATTTTTATTCACACCAAAAAATAGAAGATTTACTGTTATGCAATACTGTAATAATTGTATAAATATCATCACCATATTTGTGAATGTATATTAGACCCACCAGCTGACGTGTATTAGATGTGTGAGGTTGTTTGTTTACTCTTGAATATCGGCAAAAATTTAACATTTCCGCTACTTTGAGCTCAGTTTCAAGCCATTTCCAGTGCTAAAACCAATCAAAATCATCTCTATTTCTGTAATATGTCTTCCATTCTATCAAATGAGACCAAGAAATCGCAAATACAACTATAAAAAACATACGAAAAAGCACTGCAAAGTGCATGATTTCAGTTTTTTTCTCCCATTATACACAGTGTGCTGCAGGATCTGTTTTATGTGGTGCACACATACCACATAGATGTATTCTCTCATATCTAGGCCCAAATGTACCACTCACAGTTTATCAGAGCGAGCTGAGCTCATGGCGTAGATCTACGGTTTGGACACTCACCGTAAAGCCGTAGATCTACGGGACGGACCCTGAAAGGGTTAAATTTGGGCAACCCTGAGAACAAGTCTCAGAGAGAGCCTGGTGACCCTGAAAGGGTTAAAATATTTTCATCTATAGCTTATAGTGAGTGGTGAATATATTTATTGAATAAATGAAGAATGGATATAACTGAAAAGCATTGCATTAGCAAAACTGTAAAGTGGGGCCTGCCTGCAGTTGAATGGGCAGTTTCTTGTGCTCATTTGATAGAACAGAAGGTAAACTAGCAAAAGAATTAAGAATTTGGTTGAATGGATTACTGGAATTAGCTTAAAATAGGACTCAAAATGGACAAAATTTTTGATGTGTAAATTGCTCCTAGACCGTAAACTCTACAATTGCGTAATTCTCTAAATTTTCTATCAAATTTAGTATGTACTTTTGTCATTATTACCTCAAGAAAAAGATTCTCTACCATTTCAGAAGAATTTTTTTTTTTAAATGTGAACAGTGAGAGAAATGTTAATTCTGGGGGTCTGGACAATGTGAGTTAATGCTACTACATATTTTTTCCTTTCTTCAAAACTTGCTCAACATGACTACACTACCTCAGAAGCTTACCTTCAGCTTTTTGTTATGCCACATTACCTGTTTATCAATTCTAGCAACAAACTTACCAGTGTCATAACATCATTAGCCAAGTCTCTTGCTAGATCCCCACTGATAAAACATGCCAGACCAGTGAGTGCTGTACCAGAGTCATACATGTTATGACTATTCAGATCTTTTCGAATCATATTTGTTGTCAGCATAAGGACCTGGGGAAAGAGAAAGTGATATTAATTTGGCAATTTATCTGTAGTCAATAAATAATAAGCAACATGCATAACGATGCAGAACTAGCACTGTCCGATCAAAACGAAGCAGATCACAGCAAAGAGACTAAACAGCCTGTGGCTAACTAATAGTATCCTCAAATCCATTGATAAAAAGCACCCGCATGAAAAACTGTTCACATTAGGCCTGATAACTAAAGAACTGACTAAATGATACTCATCAACACTCACAAATCTAATACGGGAATCAAATCAAATGAATTATGAAAATGGATTTATTGAAATAAAAGGTGATATGAAAAGCAACTTTTGGCAGAAAGATGGTCTAGTGCAAGAATGGGTAGTGGGGAGGTTGAAGGGGATGGGATAGTTTAAAAAATGCAGTATTAGAATGTGGGATAGAAGTTTGTGGCTATAAGAAGGTGGGTACAAGAAGGAAGAGAAGTGATTGGTGAAATGATGAGGTAAAGGGTGCGATAAAAGAGAAAAAGGTGGCTTAAGAGAGGATTTTACAAAGCAGAAATAATATAAGAGAGGCAGACTATTTTTTTTTTTTTAACAAGTCGGCCGTCTCCCACCGAGAAAGAAAATCCCCAAAAAGAAAATACTTTCATCATCATTCAACACTTTCACCTCACTCACACATAATCACTGTTTTTGCAGAGGTACTCAGAACACAACAGCTTAGAAGCATATACAGTGGACCCCCGGTTAACGATATTTTTTCACTCCAGAAGTATGTTCAGGTGCCAGTACTGACCGAATTTGTTCCCATAAGGAATATTGTGAAGTAGATTAGTCCATTTCAGACCCCCAAACATACACGTACAAATGCACTTACATAATTGGTCGCATTCGGAGGTGATCGTTATGCGGGGGTCCACTGTACCAATAAAGATACACAACATATCCTTCCAAACTGCCAATATCCCGAACCCTTCCTTTAGAGTGCAGGCATTGTACTTCCCATTTCCAGGACTCAAGTCCGGCTATATAAAAATAACCGGTTTCCCTGAATCCCTTCACTAAATATTACCCTGCTCACACTCCAACAGATCGTCAGGTCCCAAATACCATTCGTCTCCATTCACTCCTATCTAACACGCTCACGCACGCTTGCTGGAAGTCCAGGCCCCTCGCCCACAAAACCTCCTTTACCCCCTCCCTCCAACCTTTTCGAGGACGACCCCTACCCCGCCTTCCTTCCCCTACAGATTTGTACGCTCTCCATGTCATTCTACTTTGATCCATTCTCCCTAAATGACCAAACCACCTCAACAACCCCTCTTCAGCCCTCTGACTAATACTTTTATTAACTCCACACCTTCTCCTAATTTCCACACTCCGAATTTTCTGCATAATATTTACACCACACATTGCCCTAAGACAGGACATATCCACTGCCTCCAACTGCCTCCTCGCTGCTGCATTCACAACCCAAGCTTCACACCCATATAAGAGCGTTGGTACTATTGTACTTTCATACATTCCCTTCTTTGCCTCCATAGATAATGTTTTTTGTCTCCAAATATACCTCAATGCACCACTCACCTTTTTTCCCTCATCAATTCAATGATTAACCTTATCTTTCATAAATCCATCTGCCGACACATCAACTCCCAAGTATCTGAAAACATTCACTTCTTCCATACTACTCCTCCCCAATTTGATATCCAATTTTTCTATATCTAAATCATTTGATACCCTCATCACCTTACTCTTTTCTATGTTCACTTTCAACTTTCTACCTTTACACACACTCCCAAACTCATCAACTAACCTTCGCAATTTTTCTTTAGAATCTCCCATGAGCACAGTATCATCAGCAAAAAACAACTGTGTCAATTCCCATTTTGCATTTGATTTCCCATAATTTAATCCCACCCTTCTCCCGAACACCCTGGCATTTACTTCTTTTACAACCCCATCTATAAATACAGTGAACTCGACCAATTATGTAAGTGTATTTTTGTAAGTGCTTATGTACGTGTATTTATGGGGGTCTGAAACGTACTAATCTAATTCACAATATTCCTTATGGGAACAAATTTGGTCTATAACGGCACCCAAACAGAAGCTCTGGAATGAAATAATATCGTAAGGCGGGGGTCCACTGTACATTAAACAACCATGGTGATATTACACATCCCTGTCTAAGACCTACTTTTACTGGGAAGTAGTCTCCCTCTCTTCTACACACCCTAATCTGAGCCTCACTATCCTCATAAAAACTCTTTACAGCATTTAGTAACTTACCACCTATTCCATATACTTGCAACATCTGCCACATTGCTCCCCAATCCACTCTATCATATGCCTTTTCTAAATCCATAAATGCAATAAAAACTTCCCTACCTTTATCTAAATACTGTTCACATATATGCCTCAATGTAAGCACTTGATCTACACATCCCCTACCCACTCTAAAACCTTCTTGCTCATCCGCAATCCTACGTTCTGTCTTACCTCTAATTCTTTCAATTATAACGCTACCGTACACTTTTCCTGGTATACTCAGTAAACTTATTCCTCTATAATTTTTACAATCTCTTTTGTCCCCCTTTCCTTTATATAAAGGGACTATACATGCTCTCTGTCAATCCCTAGGTACCTTCCCCTCTTTCATACATTTATTAAACAAAAGTACCAACCACTCCAACACTATATCATCCCCCTGCTTTTAACATTTCTGTCATGATCCCATCAGTTCCAGCTGCTTTACCCCCTTTCATTCTACGTAATGCCTCACGCACCTCCCCCCCACTCACATCCTGCTCTTCTTCACTCCTAAAAGATGGAATACCTCCCTGGCCAGTGCATGAAATAACCGCTTCCCTTTCTTCGTCGACATTTAAAAGTTCCTCAAAATATTCTCGCCATCTACCCAAAACCTCCATCTCCCCATCTACTAACTCCCCTACTCTGTTTTTAACTGACAAATGCATTCGTTCTCTAGGCTTTCTTAACTTGTTTAACTCATTCCAAAAATTTTTCTTATTTTCATTAAAATTTCTTGACAGTGCCTCTCCCACTCTATCATCTGCTCTCCTTTTGCACTCTCTCACCACTCTCTTCACCTTTCTTTTACTCTCCATATACTCTACTCTTCTTATAACACTTCTGCTTTGTAAAAACCTCTCATAAGCTAACTTTTTCTCTTTTATCACACCCTTTACTTCATCATTCCACCAATCACTCCTCATTCCTCCTGCACCCACTCTCCTATAACCACAAACTTCTGCCCCACATTCTAATTACAGTGGACCCTCGACATTCGATACTAATCCGTTCCTGAGAGCTATCGAATGTCGAAAATATTGAAAGTCGAATTAATTTTCCCCATGAGAAATAATGGAAATCAAATTAATCCGTGCAAGACACCCAAAAGTATGAAAAAAAAAAATTTACCACATGAAATATTAAGTTTAATGTAATAGAATAATTGCAATAACAATAGAATAATAACAATAGAATAATTGACACTTACCTTTAATGAAGATCTGGTGATGATTGATGGGATGGGAGGAGGGGAGAGTGTCGAAGTTGTTACTGTTTAGAAGGGGAATCCCCTTCCATTAGGACTTGAGGTAGCAAGTCCTTTTCTGGGGTTACTTCCGTTCTTCTTTTAGTGCCACTAGGACCAGCTTGAGAGTCACTGGACCTCTGTCGCCGTTCCTTTACGATTTGTCTAAAATGGGCCATAACATTGTCATTGTATTAGTCACCAGCACGGCTTGCAATAGCTGTGTTAGGGTGATTTTCATCCATAAAGGTTTGCAGTTCAACCCACCTTGCACACATTTCCTTAATTTTTGAAGTAGGCACAATGGAGTCCACAACTGGCATAGGATTCTCAGGGTTAGCCCCATACCCTTCAAAATCTTTCTTAATTTCCATACTAATTCTCACCCTTTTTACCACCGGGCTGGCACTAGAAGCTTTCTTGGGGTCCATGGTGACTTATTTTGCAGAAACAAGCACCAAAAACAGTGATAATATGGATAATATGTAATGTACCGAATGTATCCTTAGATGCACGCACACTGGCTGGCTTGTAAACACTGGCGCACACGGGGCAGTTCAGGCCACACCTGGACACGTCTCGTACAAATCGTATCAAATGTCGGGTTTTCCATTGAATGTCGAGGCGAAATTTTTGCGTTAAAATGCATCGAATGTCGGATTTATCAAATGTCGATGCCATCGAATGTCGGGGGTCCACTGTACTGCATTTATAAAACTATTCCAACCCTCTTCAACCCCACCCCCCCACTACTCATACTTGCACCAGTTCACCTTTCTGCCAATAGTTACTTATATCTCACCCGACTTTCCTCCTCCCTTAGTTTATACACTTTCGCCTCCCTCTTGCTTGTTGTCATTTTCCTTTTTTCCCATCTACCTCTTACTCTAACTGTAGCTACAACTAAATAATGATCCGATATATCAGTTACCCCTCTATAAACGTGTACATCGTGGAGCCTACCCATCAACGCTTTATCCACCAATACATAATCTAACAAACTACTTTCATTATGTGCTATATCATACCTTGTATATTTATCCTCTTCTTCATAAAATATGTATTACTTATTACCAAACCTCTTTCTACACATAGCTCAATTAAAGGCTCCCCATTTTCATTTACCCCTGGCACCCCAAATTTACCTACTACTCCCTCTACAACATTTTTGCCCACTTCAGCAATGAAATCCCCAACCACCATTACTCTCACACTTGGTATCAAAATCCCCACGCATTCACTCAACATTTCCCAAAATCTCTCTCTCTCCTCTACACTTTTCTCTTCTCCAGGTGCATATATGCTTACTATAACCCACTTTTCACATCCAACCTTTACTTTACTCCACATAATCCTTGAATTAATACATTTATAGTCCCTCTTTTCCTGCCATAACTTATCCTTCAACATTATTGCTACTCCTTCTTTAGCTCTAACTCTGGTAGGTAAGACACATGGG